CGGGTCGGGGTTTTATCGGCACCTGGCTCGGGGCCACAGAAGCCTGGAGAAGAAGCTGTGCTGGCCAGGGAAGGGAGCGGCGTGTGAGGTGCAGGCTGGCACCCCTGGGTGCACCACGGGGCGGGGCCCACAGCTGCCAGCCCCATACACTGAGTGCCGGGGGTGTGGGGAGCTAGGGCCCGGCGGTCGAAAGATAACGTGGTGTACGGAAAGATAGAGTCACCCCCCCTCCTCTATAGTTTATGGTAATTATCCCGTAATTAACCAATAGCACCTAGCTGTGATGAAAGCAGATCGGAGTGACACTGTGAACCTAGGTTATAAAGTGTCAAATTCTTCACCAATGCCATTTTGCCATCTACCACATTGGTGTTGTGTGCTAATGGACCGAGTGACCTGGGATTGGGCCCCGTCCGTTCCTGAACCAGGTCCTCTGCCTCGCAGAAGGCAGCATGGGGGCAAGGGGCTTCTCCAGGCTTCAGCTCAGTCTTCTTCAGGCTGTCCTTACCAGGCAGTTGTGAAACTTCCACATCTTCTTCTTCTTCAGCAGTCTCTTGAGCTTCTTCTTCTTCAGGAATGTGGTCACACAAAGGAGCACTTGAAGAGAGGCCTGGAGAGCAGCAGACATATGAGCATACCACTGCAGCCCAAAGAAAAGGACTTGCGTCCCTGTGTCAAGGCCAGGAGCATAAAGCTGGAGCCTGGGAGAGGCTAAGCCAAGAGATGTCTGAGCCCCTTCCCAAGGATGCACCGGAATCACTCAAAACCTCACCTTTGCCACACGCTTGTTCTCATCATAGCAATGAAAGAAGAGTGGGAGCAGGCTCTGCCTCACAATCCTCTTCAGGGGCTTTTTTCTTTTGTCCACTGCCAAGTCCATCACCTTGAAGAAGAGGTGTAGGGAGAGCAGCTGCATATGGATGTCATCCTGGAAAAAAAGAAAACACCTCAGCATCAACTGCCTAAGGCCCATCTGGGAAAGGGCCTGAAAATCCACAAAATTTCTGAGCAACGATCAGTGCTCGTGGCTGGGGGCACAGAGCCTTACCTTGTCAAAGAGTGGCAGGAGTGCCTCAGCCAGCTTTGGGGCAGTGGTGCTGGATATCAGGATGTGTTCATTCTCAAGTATATTTGTGAGCACAGAGAGGGTCATGCTGACAACATATCCATGTGCATCACCCAGGAGCTCCAGAAGAGTTTGAGAGAGACTGCACATTTTTCTGGCCTGTGTGGAACACAAGGCTGTGCTGGGAAGCCAGAATGGCTGCACTGCCAACACCGCCCTGGCACTGCAACCCTACCCTGCTGCTGCAGGGCCCAGAGGTCAAAGGTGTGTCCCAAAGCACTTAGGCAGCTGAGCCAGGAGGCAGAACTGAAAGCAGATGCCTCAGCTCTTGAAGCCCAGCCAGACCAAGGGGCTGCTTTCCCCACCCCCACCTTTCCAGCACAGCTTCAGCTGCTGCCCCCTTCTCACCCTCAAGGGATCCTTGCTGAGCACCAGGAGGCCTTTGAGTGCCAGGCGGCGCCTCTCCCTGCACTTGCTGTGCAGGTGCCTCGACATTATCTCCAGGATGTTGTCACCATATGTCAAGTCCAGGCACTCGAAGACCTGAAAGGCACAGGTAGCGACAGGGAACCTGGCCAGCAGGAGCTTGGAACTGTGCAGGGCTGGATCCAGGCAGCAGCACAGGGTGCGGGCACCCTGTCCCAGGCAGCTGTGGCTATGCAAGGGGAGAGGGCTGGCAGGCAGCTCAGCAAGGCAGTGCTGGCCATCAGGCTCACCTCCACAAGGAATGCCAGGAAGGGCAGATCCCAGTATGTCTCCTCCCTGTTGAGCAGCCGGAGTAGGTGTAATGCAATGAGGGAACACAAAGGCACAAAGATACGGCGCAGCTCCCTGGAAGGGGGAAAAAGGCACCAAGAACCTGAGGTTGGGGGGCAGATCTCTCCCAGGACTGACTCACAGAGGTCCTGTCTTTCCTCAACCTCCTCGGAGAGGATATGGGCACTTTGGGAGGCAGCTCCTTCTGGACACCCTCCTCTCCCAGCCTTTTCCAGTCTGCTCGACCAACTCTCGGTGACGAGGCCCTCTGGCCATGACCACAGGGACTGTGGGGGGCCCCCCAGGCAAAGGTCACAAATGTCAGAGGTAGTAGGGAGAAGGGGGTCTCACCTGGCCATCAGACCAGTGCCGTAGTGCTGGGTGTTAGCAGAGACCAGCATGTCCCAGACACCCTTGCGCTCCATAGTCATCAACTCTTTGTCACACCGCAGTCGGTGGAGCAGAGTCTTCATGGTCTTCACTGCAAACCTGCGTGCAGAGCAAAGCCCAGGTCACACTGGGAGCACAGGTGCTGGCCACAAAGGTGTGGGAAGGACAGGAGGACTGGGACCTGTTGGGGTTGCTGGGAAGGCAATGTTCCTCCTTGCATGCTTTCCAGAAGGTACCAACTTCCTCTGGTGGCATCTGCTGTGTGGTGATGACAACATGGAAGAGCAGAGCCACAAACAGCCGCCCAGAATAAGGGATCACTGCCTTGTGGCACTGAGGCACAATCACCCAGAGCACCAGAGCTGCCTGCAAAAGAAGCAACCCAAGACAGCGCTCAGTGCTGAGGTGTCCCTGGGGCAGGGCCCGAGGGGAGATGCAGAGGGAGCAGTGGGCCTGGTGCCCCCTGAGCCTGCTCCTAGCCCAGGTTTTAGCACAGTGCCTGAAGCATGGAGAGCTGCTGGAGAGGCGACCTGGGGGTAAGCAAAGGCTAGTTCCATAAACTCACAGCCAGGGCAAAAACGTCCTTGTTGTCCCCACTGGTAGTGCACATCCTGTACAGTGGCCAGTGCTCCATCACACAGAGCAGTGTTGGAAGCACCTTCTGCAGTGTTGGTCCTGAAGAAGCTATGACTCTCCACATCATTGTGGCAGCTCTGTGGGATCAGAGCTCTGTGTAAGAGGCATCTCAGTCACAGTACCATGTCCTGTGCAGCTGTGGGGCCCAGGTGACAGAGGGAGCATTGGCAGCAGGCTTGGGAAACAGAGGGGCCCGAGGGTCCTTGTCCGCTCCACCAGCTGGGCAGACCCCATTGGACAGGCTGTGAGGGTTGATGTGCCCTAAAGGCTGGTGAGCCCTGAGCTCTCAAGGCACGTGGGCCCTGTACCTGTCACATGTTGGAGCACAGTGAAGGAGGCTCAGCACCACGTCATCAGGGTGTTCTTCAGCCAGCCTCAGAATGTTGATTTGCAGCCTGGCACACACAGTGACGTGGAACATAATACTCTGGTGAATGGTCCTTACAATGTCTGGCACCTGGTGGAGGCATGAGGAAGACTTGGAGTGCTGTCCAAGGAATCCACTTCTCCAGCTTCCCCCAAGAAGTGCTTCCCTTCCTGCTACACTGTGCTGGCCTCAAAGACTGAGGGGGCCCAGTGACCATGGAATGAAGGAGCACACGAACCTGGGAGGCCTCCAGCCCTGGCCCCAGGCTGGTTACCTGCTGCAGAGAAGAGACAGCACTTTCCTCGAAAAAATCCATAATAGGAGTGTGAATCACAGTGGGAGTGGGTGTGGTGTCAGTATTTGTGATCCTCTGAGTCCCACCGGTGTTGGTGTTTGCAATGGCCATGTGCTCAATCACTGGTATGACAGCCTTTGCCCTGTGATCATTCATTGTGCTGTCAGAGTCTTCTGAGCACTCAGACGAATCTGGGCTGATTTCAGTCTTTGTTATGCCCCGAGTCTCTCTATTGATAGCGTACGTGATGACCACATCCTCAGTCATTGATATGAGGAGAGCCTTTGCCCAGTCTTCAGTCGCTGAGGTGTCAGAGTTTTCTGAGCACTTAGCTGAATCTGGGCTGACATCAGGCTCTGCTGAGAGCTCGGTCAGCCCAGAGTCAGGCTCATCTGTGCCCTCAGTTGCTGTAGTGCTGGTCTTTCTATGCTGAATGGGCACAAACTTCCAGAACATCTGCAGGAGAAGCAAGGACAGGGAAGAAAGGAATGTTCCATGGAGTGCTTCAAGCACAGTTCTCGGCTGAGCAGTGACAGCAGGCCCAGCCCTGGTGGGGATGGCTGCAGGTACCTTCAGCGTTCTGTGGAAGCTGTCACGGGCAGGCTGCTGCTCTCGTGTCGGGTCCATGGCTGCATCTGGCAAAGAACAAACACAGCCAGAGCTGAGGGACTGCAGGGGAGGCAGGAGAACACAGCCCAGCCCTGCGCTCCCCAGGCAGGGACAGCCCCGCGGATGCCCCAGGGGATGGAGCATAGTCACTGTGAGGGGCAGCCCTGGCCCAGCTTCTGTCCTATCCGTGGGCACGTCCACAGGAGGTGGGATGGGATGGGATGGGATGGGATG